CCAAGCACAAATTACGGTGTATTTCTCCTCTGAATTGGTCAGTTTTTAAATTAAAATCGATGACCAAAAGACAATTATTATGAAGTGACTCTTGGAAACATCCAATCAGACTTTCCAGCTGTGGAAAGAACGCCTCCCTCCATCATTCTCCATTCTGGTTCTTGGCTAACGGCGGATATGAACAGCAAAGTCCGGTGCCGCTGACCTACGGCGCAGTCGCTCATTCACGTCCAGGATGGTGCGTTCAGTAACGCAGCGTAACTTGGATTAGTAACTGTAATAATATCACTGCTTTGGAAAAGTAATCCGTTACGCTACTAGTTACTGGGAAAGGTTATATTATTACAGTAACACGTTATTGATTGTGGGACAGTTTTTCAGTGGGTGTGAGTTTTCAGTGTTTCCTGTCTCAGTTTGAAGCTCGTCTGTCCCCGGTGTTCTCGTCTTGTGATCACCTGTGTTTAATTATCCTCACCCCTCCTGTGCGTGTAAATATACAGGGAGCGTCAGAGCGATAACACCGAATTTGAGTCACATGACACCGGGGAGGGAAAATGGCTACTTGGACCCAATGTGGACATTTTCACTTAGGGGTGTCCTCACTTTTGTTGCCAGCGGTTTAGACATTAACGGCTGTGTGATGTGTTATTTTGAGGGGACGGCAGATTTACACTGTTATACAAGCTGAACACTCTCTAAAATATTTATATGGTGGTCTGTCTGTTATTTGTTGCTTTTCGTGGACGTGTTTCCCTCGGCGTCGTTCCTGGTGATTTGTGTTTCCTCCGGTTTACCTCATGTCTCTAGCGGAGGGGATTTTGTTTCCCTGTGTGGATATTTGGACTTTATTTTAAACTTGTTTTCACTGAGTTTTTGGTTTTGGACTGCCTGCCGGCGGAACATTAATATCCTGAGTTTTGGTACGTCACACCCCTGCTCCCTACAGATGAGTCGAACCTGAGAGTTAAAAGTCAACATATAGTGTTTTTAGAACAATATTTTCTACATTAAATTTTTCTAACATTTCAAACAAGCATCTGATGCTGTCTTTTTTTGTCTTTGTGGAAAAACAATGTAAGAGACGGGCAGCAAAATCCACAGTGCTGCTTGTTAGTTTCATTTTAAGGCACCTTTGCTAAATGACAGCAGAGTCGGTGTGAGAGGTTTTTATTTTAGACATTATTTTCAGCAGACAGGCAGCTTTTGTCCGCTCGCCTCAGCTCTTTAATGTCTGTTTTATAATAGAGGTAATCATCGATGCTTTCACAGAAGACGTTTCATCGGACTGAGATAGCATCTTGGACGGCACAGTAATAGATAATAAGAATAATTATGGGAACAGCTGATGACGATTCCCTTTGATAAAGTTCAGCCACCCTTCGCTTCCTGATCAGGCTACAGAACAACATGTCTCTGATTAACAAATTGATCATCTCCTCTGATTTTAGATGTTCTTATATATTTAAACTCTCAGCAGTTTTCAGCCCCTCTGACGATGAATGAAACCAAGTGTTTGGTTGAGCTGTTGATCGCTCTGCATGTTCAGTCCAGAGGAGTCAGCGTTTCATTTATTTAAATGTTTAAGTGATGACGTTTCCTTTAATATTCAGTGACCCTTCACTTCCTGCCTGCTGACAGGAAACGCGGAGCTGACAGACACGACAGAAAAACACTGTTTTTATGAAATAATATGAACCTGCCGATTCCTTTTTCTCAGCAGTTTGTTTTTCTGTGCAAAACTCTGCACACACAAGGTCAACCAGCTGACGACGACAGTCTGAAGTCACGTTTGATCACGCGTGATTCCCCAGAACCGCCACTCTGAAAGCGTTTAGTAGGAACGCAGAGTGTGTGCTGTGTTACAGATCTCTGTGAAGTGCAAAATGAAAAAGCCCACAGGGAGTTCCCATCTCCCACAGAAAACTCCGCTCCTGAACAAACGTTGTGAAAGACGAACGTGTCGAGGTCGTGAAGCTGGTTCAGGAACGCGGGGCCTTTTCGTTCTTGTGAAATGTCATCTTTTGTGCCCAAGTACTGTTTCAATACACACATTTGCATTTTGTCAATAACGGTTAAAATTCCCAGAAGTGTTCTTGACACGCCCGTTTTTACCCAGGATGCATCACCACAGCTGTGAGCTGTTTTTCTGTCATTACATTCTGAGTAATGACGTTGAATGAGTTGTATGTATTAGACAATGTAAAGTCGCGGTTACAGTACTTGCTTTGTATTTGCTTTTATTTCATATCATTCTTACTCATCCACCAATATACTTTGTAAGTTAAAACCTACTTGCCAATAAACCCGATTCTGAGCTTTTTGTTTTGGATGGTAAAGCCTGGCTGTTGTATTGGAGCTCTGCAGGCGTGCTGGGGTTATTGCACAATACCAGCAAGAACGCATCGTCTCAAACCGTCAGCAGCGTTCTGCGCGCTCGTGGCATTGCAAGTTCATTCCTCCAAGAACCACTGGCAAGAACGTTCTCCCCAAGAACACAAGTCCGTTCTTTGCAAAAGAGGAGCTGCAGCAATTTTGTTGTTTTTCAAACATTAAACCATGTAAACGTGTTCTGGTGGAACCCCTACATAACATTATGAACCTGAAAATGAGCAGAATCAGAAAGACTTTATTGATCCCCGAGGGGAAATTCTTTGAATGACCATTTTATGTCAAAATTATTAAATATTCTGTTGTTATGTCTGTGTTTTGAAGTCAGTTAAAGAGGCGGTATTCTGCTTTTTGGCTTTTCCCCTCTCCTTTTATTGAGTTAAATACCTTTTTGTGCATGTAAAAACGAAGCCTTCAACACAGGCTGAAGAGGAGCTGCAGCAACGTGCAGTATGACAAAAATATAACCCTGTAAACTTGTTCTGGTACAAACTCTAAATAAGATGAGGAACCTGAAAATGAGCAGAATATGACCTCTTTAAGATTTGAAAATCCTCTAGTGCACACCGGGCAGAACTTTATTGTTTATTTCACACTAACTGAACCCTAACCGTAGTTAATTTAACACCGTCTGCTGTAGTTTCCACAGATTGTGAAGAACGTTGCTACTGGACATAATGGAGGTTTTACCTTTCATGTCTGGTCCTTTAGTTTCTTACACATAGAGCTGTAATGTTTGGCCGTCCACAAACATTTGGCTATAGAGTTTTAACCCGTTAGCCAAACAGACGGGGAAAACGGCGCCTGTTTGACAGGTGATCTCTGACAAGTGGAGTCTAGAAGCACAATAATGACGATGTGGTCTCAGTAACAGGGGGATCTTGCTCGCGTCCACTCTGAGACCTCCCTGCAGTGTTCTAATCTTGGCGCTCCACAGATGGCTCAGATCAAAGAAGCCAGCTTCAGACGGCTCCACGGCGGCGGGTTAAAGTGCCCTGATGGTGGATTTGTACCATATGTCGTGCTGGAGCAGATGTCCTCTGCTCCCTCAGCGCCTCCTCCTGCCTGTCCGTCGGCACACTTTGGGGAAGTGTTGTTGGTTTCCGTTACCCGGGAGGCTTGTTGTCGTCGCTGATCTTTGACTGTTAGCGTGAGTTTAGATCGCAGCGACGTTCCCGTCAGGAGCTCTTAGTGAGTCACCAGCTGCTGGGAGAGAAGACGTGCAGGAGAGGAGGTCTTTGTCTCCTCTCTCCACGTCGCTGCTACAGCTTGTTGGACTTCAACAGATGAAATTGCTCAGCAGAAACACGGCTGACGATGCCAAAGTCAGACTCCCTGTTATCAGTCCGACCCAACTCACAGGAAGTGAAAATGAGCGGGAAAACAACCCACACAGCATGGACAAAGTTCACAGCTTCCACGGCGTGTCCGGTGGCGTCGACCTGTAGGAGCGTCCCAGACGACCGCTGAAAGGTGTTTTTTAGACTGCAGAGATTACAACTGAAAAGATGGAAGAATGACTTTGCCTGCAGCTTTGCTCTCACGCTGTTTACTGTTTACACACACCTGTGACATCACATCCTGTTTCAAGACTGAATGTTAAAACCAAAAAGGCTCAAGATCGATGCAGCAGAACCAGAGACGTTCTTGCCCACAGTGCCAGTAGCGGCTGATGTAGCCTGCGGCAGCTGCAGAGGTGACTCCACGCTGAGCCGCCGCAGATCACACAGCTCGCTCTGCGACGCTGAAGGTGTCGCGCTACTTTACTGAAACACCTGGAGACTCGCTGACCTGGCAGGAGAACGTAAAACAACAATACTGCAAAAGCTCCAAATAAATGAGCCAAGAACAATTCATGTCATGCACTTCATTAAATAAAACAGCTCCTCTCAGCTCCTCTCAGCTCCTCTCAGCTCCTCTCAGCTCCCCTCAGCTCCCCTGCAGCTCCTCTGCAGCTCCTCTCAGCTCCCCTGCAGCTCCCCTGCAGCTCCTCTCAGCTCCTCTCAGCTCCCCTCAGCTCCCCTGCAGCTCCTCTCAGCTCCTCTCAGCTCCCCTGCAGCTCCTCTCAGCTCCTCTCAGCTCCTCTCAGCTCCCCTGCAGCTCCTCTCAGCTCCTCTCAGCTCCTCTCAGCTCCTCTCAGCTCCCCTGCAGCTCCTCTCAGCTCCTCTCAGCTCCTCTCAGCTCCTCTCAGCTCCTCTCAGCTCCCCTGCAGCTCCTCTCAGCTCCTCTCAGCTCCTCTCAGCTCCTCTCAGCTCCCCTGCAGCTCCTCTCAGCTCCTCTCAGCTCCTCTCAGCTCCTCTCAGCTCCCCTGCGGCTCCTCTCTGTGTCCTCAGGTGGTGAAGCTCTGCATTAATAAATAAACTCCTTCACTGAAGAAATGAAACTGTGTTTTTGTTGTTCTCTCTCTCTGAGTTCACCTCTATGTGCTTTAGATATATTACTGAATATTTTGGTTGAAACATGTTGCCAAAGCAGATTGCAGCAAAATCAAAGTTTACATTTTTAACACATTCTCAGTAACACATTTCTCCCTCCAAGGTCCAATTATTAAAATAACAAACATTAATAATAAATGTGATAATATCTATAATAATGTGTCTCTCTCTCTGTAGAAGTGAAGACGCTGTAAACCAGATGGCCGTCCCCCCCTTCTCGACTCCCCCTCCTCCCCCTGTCCTGAGCGCTGAGGTCACAACACATCCACAGGTACAGATACATGGCATCCCTGTCCACATACTTTTGGCCAGGTACTTTGCACCGGTGTTATCCTTTCTGATTGGTCAAACCCCCTTTCAGAGACGTTCAAGGAGTTCATTCACCTCCTCTGTAGATGCTCGGGTCACGTCTCCAGCAGGACTGGTATCAGTGGCGGTCCTAGACCAGTTTTATTGAGGGGGCCACGCTGGGGCCAGTTGTTTTGACAGAGGGGCACATTGTTCAAGCTTTCAAAATGTCTTGTTTAGTATATTTTATAATGTTTCAGTATGTGTCAGTAACAGGATCTTTTCAGTGACTTATAGTTTTATTAAATAACATTATTACCCCAAGTACCAGGACATTCTTTGATGCAACACTTCTTTGAGAGGCTAAATGAACAGTATGTAAGTGTACTACACATTTTCCGGACCCCAGTTTGTATTTTGTATCCCACTATAACTTTTGCTAGGAAACAACAAACTTCTCCATATTCACCCCTGTTATTAGTCCAGATATGAAGTATACACAAAATTAAATACTTGATGGTAGGATATCATCTGTGCATTATGGAGGGGGATGCATATTTTACCAGACTGCATGTCCAGCCGGGTGGGACCAGTAGGTCAACAAGTGCTGTTTAAATGCATTATGAAATTGTTATGATGATAATTTACCCTTTAAGGAGGGCACGCAGAACAATTTCGACAGTTTATTAAAACTCAATTTATAACATCGTTAGGCTATCGCAAAATAAATGTTGCTTTACTGCTCGTTTTATTTAGACATTCTCAATTCAGTGCATTGAATAATACAAAGTTCAATAACAGGCAACGTTAACGTTAGCCTATAAAAGCGTTCTTATAATCCGTGTGCCAGCTTGCTCTGCAAAAACCTCGTTGATAAAACACTAAAAACGACAGATGAAACAATCCACATGTTATATTTTTCATTTACTTAGTCGAAAGTCCGCCTTCACCGCTGACAGCACGCACGCTTACATTTACATTTTCTACAGTTTCTATCAGGGATAAGAAAGTCCTTATGAATCGTCTCTGGGGATAACTACCTCGGCACGACACCGGACCGCGGCGGTGTAACGTCCTAAAGGATCCCACTAGTTGAGACACGTTTGTTCCACCTTTCGCATCAGCGCCGTAACGTCGCAAGGACGATTTATTACTATGATAATTGTAGCGTTTTCGTTCAGAGGGGGGTCCAAGGGCACTGGCCCCTGTTGACAAATAGTCCTTTAATGGAGCTGCAAAGACCAGAGGGGCACCTGTAGACTGACCTTCTCATATTCTGTATGTGTGTCAGTCTGTCTGTCCAGCTCCTCTCGGTGTCTCCGCCCCCACAGATGGACCGCGCCTACCCACCGCCCTGACGCTCCACCCGGCCTCAGACACACTGGTCAGTTTACATCAACTCAGAAACAAGTTCCCCCATTTGCTCTCATCTTGGCTGCTGCGTCATTATTTACGTGCCTCAGTGATGCTGGACTCCAGTTTGAGAACCCAGTTTAATTTGCGTGTCTGAAGACGGCTGCACCGGGAAATGGTTTCATAACATGGGTGTTACTCGAGCTGTCGAACCACCCGAATCAATAAAACAAAATCCTCCACGGTGGAGAGGGTGGTCACATGCAGCAGCGGAATCAGCTCCAAGGGTCAAGAGCAGAGGAGCACTTAGTCTTTTCATGGACGACCTTGTGGCGGGTGGGCAGGGATCTCTGATTTCTTCACAAAAAAGAATTCAGCTTTAAGATTCTAATGATTATGTTTAAAGAGGTTTGGCTGATCTTTTATTCTGCATCTCTGCATCAAGCGGCCCTGGAGTCTGAGCTGTAGAAGCTTCAGCCGGCAGCTGCAAGTTGTTGCAGGAACAAGAAGCACTTTTTGTGGACGCCATTTTGACGGGTGCAGTCACCAAAGAGGTTGCAGTCACAGCTGAAGCATCTACTGCACGGTTTTAAATCTTTCTGCACCTGCTAGGCATTTCAACATATGTGAAAATAGGGCCCAGGTTTAAGAAGTGCTCCTCAGTATCAGAGTATAAGAGTCACATCGTCACTCACTGTGGGCATCCATCCATCATTTCTCATGATAAACTAACGAGTGATCTGCTGAACAGGACGAGACGAGCGACGAAGCAGAACAGAACAACAACAACAGAAGCAGCAACGGCGCCGCCAAGAGTCTGAGAGAGGCCGACACTTTCAAAAAGGTACTGAACTCATTCATGCACACAGTGAAGATCTCTGGCACAACGTTCTAAACTTAAACACAGCTGAAATAGAGACATGTTGATTATAAAACACACATTTCTCCGGTAACGTAGGCCAGCAGATAATATTTTGTTTGGGCATGATGTAATCTTGCAGTAGAAAGAGAGCCACGCCCTCACCGACAAAACAAACAAGCTACTGATTATAAAATGACGCAAAAACGTGCAGAGGAGGGAAGACTAAGTCATGACTCAGCAGGGATGACATTACAGGAGAAAAGTTGATCTGCAGGAGAAACAGATCTGAGTGCTGCACTGATTCTGTTAGAGGTTTAGAGTTTGAACTGTCTCCTGACTTTTCCCTCACCAGAAAGCAGGAAATTAAGTGTTTAATGCTCAAAATCTTTCCAGCCCAAAGTGACGCCCTCGGTTAGTGTGATAGTGACATTTTGACGTCTTTAAAATCTGTCCCGTGTTCTTGGCTGGTGAAATTGAAATCATTAGTGGTTCGTTCCAAATACTCTCCTCGACCTGTGGCCTGCACTACGAAGGGAGTTCAACCTACTCAGAGTTTAACTCCGCCTACGCTGGAGTTAAACGGTGGATCAGATGCTGGTCAGTTAGAGTCCGTGCTAACTTATTAGGAGTTGGTGCACGTTCACATAAAAGCGGCGTGTTCGGCCGTGCAGGCGCATGCTCCGTATTTCTCCAGAGGAATGCACGTTGGTAGTCTCAGGAAATTTTGACTGTAAAGACACGTTAACTCTAAATCTAATATCGTGGCAGCCGACAGAGTCAGGGAGGCTTGTCAGCTTCGCATGGAGTAAATCTGTAGCCTGATTATCTTCCCAGTGTTCTGATTGTAGATCAAATCTCTATTCTGTATTCTTTTATGTGTAATATGATGAAGATGTAAAGGTCCAGCTGCACATGAGGTCCACTGTAATAGAAAAAAGGAGCCAGCGGAGAGAGAATTTTATTTCCAAGATTAATCTACAAGTAAAAAAACTAGAATATTCTGAGATTATAGTCACACATTTATGAGAGAAACTTCACTTTGCAAGGCTGCAACATCACACACGTCTGCAGGCAGTGGAAAGTTATATTAGACTTCACAATCAGATTCAGCAGTGAGGAAATACTCGTGAGTTTAGCCCACAGTCACTTTCATGCATCTCAGACTTCACCGTGGATCAGCAGAGTGATTTTTGATTTTTATGTGACTTTAATTTCAGGGATTTTCTGATTTTTGTTCCTGTAAATTTCACACTTTCATCTTGGATTTTTTTTCTTGGTTGACCCTGGCTCCCTATTTTTTGGACACGTAAAATAGTCTAAATATCTAAATATGTGAAAACACTCAGGAGAATTCAATTATAGCCTTAGAGACGGGCTGCATCTAAGAAACTGTCCCGTTAATTAGCTAATTAAGATTCCTCTCTAAATCACCAGGCTGCAGGGCTCGCTGTGTGAACGGGATGCTGTTGCGTTCAGAACTTCAGCTGCAGCCTCAGTGGAACAAATCAGGATGAAATCTAAACATATTTTATGAAGCGGTGTGTATTAATACTTCTCATCATTAACACTGAGTACAGATGTGGTGTGGAGTCCACGTGCAGGGGAACCTCGAGGTAACCACCAACAAAACCTTCTCAGAGCAGTTTAGAGATGCAGCTTAAATTGCCATGGCAACAGACCTCGGGTAACACCTGTCCAACTTTCGTTGTACAGGTGAATCGGTTAAAGTTACTCCTGACGTTACCTGGATAAGCCAGTTACCTCCCTTTCATAGTACACGCCACTAGTGTGCTGTGTGTTTGTGTTTCCTGTAGAGGCCAAACGTTGCAGAGTCTCCAGAAAACGAGTTTCTGGCTCCGAGGGCGTCGCTGGAGCAGCAGGTAACAACAGAATAGCTGAATTTACCATCACAGAGCTTGAAATAATTATGATTAAAACCCTGACAAAGATGGTTTCGCCTGAACCTGCTGCTGGTCTGTCAGTATTTTCTAACATGAACTATTTAATGTTTCTTTCAGTTTCTGTCTGCTGCTTCACCGAGCTGATCACTAACTTTAATCTGTGCGTGTCCAGTCCTGCAGGTCTCACAGCAGCTCCAGTAAACCGACAGCAGCATCTCCTCCTCTGATCAGCCCCGACCTGCAGACCGTCAACAGAGGTACACAGTTTGACATCTGACAACACAAGCATTTCTCCATTTCCCGTTTGTATAAAGCAGTAGTGTATGTTGTAAAAACTACAGTATAAATATGTAGTACAGTATATAGAGTTAATATGTAGTATCGGACTGGGACCCTTAGGACCGTTGGACGACGCGAGGACAAAATGTCTGTGGACTAAACGTCTTATTACAAGTCCATGTCCTGGACTGATCTCTGCACTGGGTCGTAGTCGGGGCATATTTTCTTCATGCAGTCCAGAGCAGCTTTCTGTTCTTTAACAGGATCTCAGTACTTGTTCCACCACAGCGCTTGTAGAAGCAGCAGCCGGTAGCTCCTTCAAACTTCGCTACACTTTTGTTGTTTGTCTGTTTTAATGGCAAAAACGTGTGTCTGACATAAATACAGTCATTGGAAGATGAAGACGGGCCAGACCACGACCCACCCGGCCCAAACAACCAGACCAGGTGACCGATCGCTCAGAGGAGAGGAAAGAGAGCCAGGAGAGGAGCCATGCTGGCCCAGCTTGGACTTAATTCTGCTCCTATAGAGTCGGTCGGGACAAAACGGGACTCATTTTGACCAGAAAACGGAATTCAGAGTCCACATCGTTACAGAGACCTGCCCCGGGTCAAGCACTCTGCAGGCGGTCCGTGTTCCGAGCTGTCAGCGCAAGACTCCGGCGAGATGAGACGAGGTGGACTCTGGGTTTTACATCGATGGTACTCGGTGCTCAAACACAGTGAAGACGGACTCTGTTCAGACTGCTTATTGTGAAGATGAAACTTTCATATCATCATCTGGTTGCTGCTCTTTACATTCACCCCAGAAGCAAATTTAAAAAATGCACTGACAATATTCTGGGTGAATGTGTGATAGAATATGTTGTATATAAATAACTGCATATATTGTTTTATTTATATGATACCATATTTTATATTATATGTTGTGCGTATCGTGAAGGAACTACAAACTGCGTTTCATTATGCAGCCTTGTGCTGTGTAATGACAAATAGCCATTGTCATGTTGTGTTTTTTGGAACAAGACGTGACCATATTTAATTGAGAGGGTGGAGCTAGCTAGCTTGGTTAGCAAGGTGCATCTGTAATTCACGTTAGCAGTGATATTAGCCGGGATGCTAATTTTGGCTAACGACAAACGGGCTTTAAACAGAATGAGCGTCCGACTCCTGATGAGCTTTTTCAGCGGCGCCGGTTAAATGTTCACAGAGCAGCGGATACGAGTCGCCTCTATCCTGATTGACAGGTCGCCATAGAGACTTGTCAATCAGCTTGTAGCCCCGCCATAAGCGGAGGTAGCGTGGGTGCGTGGGGGTGGCCGACCCAGGGCCCACACTGGTAGGGGGCCCGCTACCTGGACTATGAAGTTTAGCTCAGTTGATTGTAGTGGACACGGACAAACAACAACGGTTTATGACGATACGCTGTACCTGGAGAATTTAGCAGCTCTTATCAAATGAAACGTTCCCTTCATTCATGGTTTCAACGGTAAACGACCACAAGAAGGACAACTACCAGCATAAACACTGGATTCTAAGGAGACTAAGTAATATTTGTATTTCAAACAAATGGCAAACTTATTAGCACATTTTAACAAAACTCCCTTCACCCTCATGCATCATGGGAATTCCGAGGGAGGGGCGTAGGCTGCGCAAGGGTTTATTTACGGCGTGAACTTCCTCTGGAAGCCTCTCAGAAGCGTTTCAGCAGCGCAGCCTGCCCCACGTTAACGACTTGTTTTAATTGTCCTTTTTGTGTTTCTACTACATTCTTCAAAGCTCTCCGTGGCTCGCTTTCGTTCCTCGTCTTGACGGGTGCGTCTAGCAGCTACCACAGGGAGCATTTCAGAATAAGAGCGTTTTACCCGCCGGACTTTGCCGACATGTTTAGATGTTGTTGATTTGGTGATTAGTGCTTTTTGTGCTTCTATGATTAAGTAGCTACGTAGTAAAACTGTTTCTTTTTTATCGATTTATCTGACGCTTTTATCCAGAGCGACTTACAATTGCTGTACGTGTCAGAGGTCACACGCCTCTGGAGCAACGAGGGGTTAAGTGTCTTGCTCAGGGACACAGTGGCGGATGGTCACAGTGGGGGACTGGCTTCAGTCTTGAGAGCCGGAGGTTCCTGCTTGGTCTGATCTAATCTTCCCCTTCCTCCCCCTCCTTCTCCTCAGACCCATCATGCTGTGCGGTGGTTCCTGGCCAGGAGACGCTGCTGGAGATCTGTAAAGGTCGATCAGGACTCGGACTCAGTATAGTGGGAGGAAGAGACACACAGCTGGTAACGCACACACCAGTTAAAAATGGAAAACAACATGTTGGAGATAAATGTGTTTTAATTGAGAGCAGATATTTGTGAACCGACACCAGGATGGTACGAGGTCCTGCAGGTGTGTCTAGCTTCATCAGCAGCTTCGCCTCGGTATCAGTTTCTGCTGATCAGTAAAAAACACAGTAACCAGCTGGAAGAGCTGAAATGATCTCTCTCTCTTTCATTGTTTCTCTATGTCTCTCTACCAGGACGCCATAGTGATCCATGAGGTTTATGAAGAAGGAGCTGCAGCCAGAGACGGACGACTGTGGGCAGGAGACCAGATACTCGAGGTACCCACACAATACTGCAGTACTGGGAGTACTAGTAATATAAATACATATATAAACAGTCACCTTGACCTTAATTATTATTGTCAACACCGTCACTGCTTAAACTGTCATTACTAGTATGTGTATATATGTATATATATATACATACACATATATAATATATATATGTGTGTGTATATATATATGTGTATGTGTATATACTATAACTACTACTTCTTTATACACTAATGTGTTATATAGAAACAGTAATACTGCTGTAACCGCTGTACTTTTGATCCTGAGTATTAAACAGGGCATATTGTGTACTAGTACTGCTATTTTAGCTCTTCCTACTCATATTACTGTTAGTACTAATGTCTAATACTGCAGTATTATGACAAATGGAAAATATAAACAACATCTCCCTCTGCTGGAAAAATACTGATGATACATGATGTTTGTTAAGCAATATCAGCAGGTGTAAAAATGGCATAAAAATGTTGATCAGGTAGAAAGAACAAAATGTTAAGGATGGAGGAACACAGAGATTTTGGGCCATGAAGGCTGTAGAGATGTTTTAAAAAGTGACTGCAGCAGAGAGTCTAAAGATCGATCCAGAGTTTCTAAAACTCACCAGGTGGCAGAAAAACAACCGGATGTTTTTGCAGAATTGAGTCTGAAATCAAGCGTGACACCTGAGTCAGACAGAGGACGAAGTGAGGATGTTAAAGAGGTGGTATTCTGCTTTTCCCCTCTCCTTTACTGAGTTAAATATCTTTTTTGTGCTGTAACAGGTTTGCAGAGTGAAAAAGCCCAAAGTGAGTTCCCATCTCCCACAGAAAACTCTGCTCTGAACTGAAAACAGCTCGTTTGTAGTCCAGCCGCTTCCCTTTCATCCCTGTGACGTCACAGGGATGAAAGCTAAACGCGCCTCACGTAACGCTCGCCGAGCGCCGACTCCGACACGCCCTCAGAAACAGCGAGCTGCAGCACACAGCTCTCCTCTCCCTTCCAAACACTAGCTACCCTCCAGGCAGTCAGTGGACAGAAAGTTGTTCCTGTGATGTAGAGACAGAGCTCAGTTAAAACTTTATGGATACAGATTAATAACTCACCGCTCTGAAACTCTCGCTCCAGTCCGTGATGCCAAGCTGGTCGGCAACACGTACGGCTGAACCCGAGCCGTTTACCGGTGAAAAGAGCTTTTTGAACCTGAAAATGAGCAGAATACCATACCACCAAACCTTTAATGTTTTCATGTGTGAGTGCAGGTGAACGGGGTGGACCTCCGCGGTGCGTCCCACGAGGAAGCAATCGCCGCGCTGCGTCAGACGCCGGCGAAGGTTCGCATGACGGTGCTGAGGGACGAGGCTCAGTACAGAGACGAGGAGAACCTGGACGTCTTTAAGGTGGAGCTGCAGAAGAAGAGCGGCAGAGGGCTGGGACTCAGCATCGTCGGGAAGAGGTCCGCCTTAAAAAACACAACACAGACACTTTGTGTTTTACCTCTGTTGTTACCATCATGTAGCTCAGAGTGTGTGTGTGTGTTTCAGGAGTGGCAGCGGCGTGTTTATCTCTGAGGTGGTCCGAGGGGGCGCTGCAGAGCTGGACGGTCGCCTGATGCAGGGAGATCAGATTCTGTCAGTCAACGGAGACGACACGAAACACGCCTCCCAGGAAGCTGTCGCTGCCATCCTGAAGGTAACACACACACAGAATGTTTCCTTTTTATTTGATAGTTGGCAGATAGACAGGAAACAGGGTCGTTTTTCACATATTTGTCTTGTACTTTTATCTGTATGTAGAGCAGGGGTCGGCAAATAAGTCTTTACATGGCGGGACAGAACAAAGTCCAGTTATTTCAAATGTATACTCGTGTGCACGCTTAGCTCAGTCGGTTCTGTGCGGGACTCCTGTTAGGAAAGTTGTAAGATTTTGCACATGCTCACAATAAAGCATGTGCTGCAGTGTGTGTGTGTGTGTGTGTGTGTGTGTGTGTGTGTGTGTGCGTGCGTGCGTGCGTCCCAGCGTTTGATCATAATTCAAAAACCTGTGGATGCTTATTTTCTTTCCCCTGAGGAGATTCAGGGGAATCCTGTCACACGTTTACTGACGGCTTTTTCAGAAGTGTGTCAAGTAAGCCAGAGTCTCTTGTGAATGTCCTTCAGAACTTTTCAAAGAAACGTTCTCACGCTTTTATTTTGAAGGCACAATCACTTAAGAGGAAGCTGCTATCAATTTATTTATTTTTATTTTTCTGTTATCAAAGCAATCTGGCCGCGGGCCAGATATTAATGCTGCGGGCCGGTTCTGGCCCGTAGGCCGCCTATTGCCAACCACTGATCAAGAGGATGATCTCTTTTCAAAATAATTGTAACTCAATTATTTGCTCAACCCCTCAGCCTGTTTTTATTTTCCATTTAACTCTTTTAACCCTGATTGTACGCTGCACTGTAACTGTTATTATATTTTAATGTGTATTTTTTCAATTTCCCTTTGTTGCTTTTAAACTTTTCTATATTTCCCTGTTGCTTTTATGTTTGATGTAAAGCACTTTGAATTACCTTGCTGTTGAAATGTGTTACACAAATAAACTTGCCTTGCCTTTATCCAGTAGGGGGCAGATTCGGACCAAATCATCCCCGCTTGACACAAGAATATTTTTCGATTTTGCAAAACGTAAATACAGGTGCAATATCGTGGAAAGTTTCTGTGGGCACCAGAACCAGACTGAGAGATTAAAGGCTCAGGAAACCTTTGCAGGTGTTAATCAGCTGATTAGAGCAGATTTTTAAGTTAAAAATTCTTTATTCTGAAATTCTAATACATTTTGAGATACTGGAGTTTTGATTTCCATGAGCCGTAATCATCAAGATTAAAACCCAAAAAAGGCCTGAAATATTTCACTCTTTGTGTAATGTGTGTGTGTGTGTGTGTGTGTGTGTGTGTGTGTGTGTGTGTGTGTGTGTGTTCTGCAGTGTGCTCGGGGTCCGGTCCTGTTGGAGCTCGGACGGCTCAAAGCTGCGTCCTGGATCTCGTCCAGACGCAACTCACAAGGAAGCCAGGTGTGTGTTTGCTGTTTGTCTGTCTTTGTGAGAACCGGGTTAGACCTTTGGGGTAACGAGGTTCTCGCCGCTTTAACGAGCTGTTTGAGGGTTCAGACTTGGTTTAGGGTCAGTGTCGGAACCACGTTTAAGGTTTTAGGACTGTATTAAGCCAGGGTGGGTCCTCACAAGCGTTAAAGCACAAACGTTTGTTTTTATGAAGGCCTGGTTTTCTAATCCCGTGTTAGTTTCTCTTAAGGTTCAGACACGTTTTAAAGATGATCTGGATGAGTCGGCGTGTGAAAAAGAAAACAACCTGCTGGTTTATAAATAACAGAACATGGTTTCGTATGAACTCTCTCTGTCCCAGATGAGTCATGTGAGTGGGAGCAGCTCAGGTGTTGTGGCTCCGCCCCTCATGCAGACCCCGACATCATGTGACCCCGCGACCACCGACCCCCCGACATTGATCTCCAGCGGCGCCCTGCCCCTCAATAACGACCTGAAGTCCACCAGTGACATCACTTCCTCCTCCAACGGCGCAGGTGAAGTTAACTAGAAACAACTTTCTGAACGTTTCAGCTTTTTGTTCGTCGCAGGACGTCGAACACGCGACAGCGCGGCGTTTAAAGGAAAAGGAAAAACGCTCGTGTCTGTCTGACTTGCATGTTGGATGTTGTTAGTGAACATCCAGTGGTCAGCTGGCTGTAGTGGATCAAACCTGACAACCACAGAAAGGACTGAGAGACCTTGCAAAGAAAAGCTCCCCTAAAAAGACAGATTTATCCAGAAACTCTGCAGATTTGGGGACAGATTTGTACTTTTTAAAGGTACAAGAGGGAGTTGAATTGGTTTTCTTCATGGTTAATGATTTCTAAGGGGTAAAAAAAATCTTTTATCTACCAAATCGCAGTAAAGCCACATGAAGGTTTACATTTATGGGTTGCTTTCATGCTATTCAGCACATTTTAAGGTGTTTTAAAGGTTCAGTGTCTACGTTTTAGTATCTGTACACTACTTTAGGTCCCATGTACACTTTGTTTCTCTTTTTGCAATAAAGATTTAAGGAGGAAAAAAGGATTCTGATTATTCCGACAGTCACCGCTCACCCCTCCCTTTGCAAGCGCTCTGAGCTAAATAACACATTTAATTTCTCTCCTACTTCTAACAAACAAGACTACTACTAATACTACTACTTGTACTTCTTCTTCTTCATACATATTTAACGTAGTGATGAAATGTGCTCTGTAGAGCAGTTTGTCTGTTCCTGTAAGAGGCCCCGCGGTGTCTGTAGATATTAATGTCTCATTCTAAGGTAATAAAAACATAACGGTTCATTATGCAAGGTCTTTAAACACCACTGAAAACATAGTTCTGGATCTTATATTACAAACTGGACCTTTAACAGGTAAATTTTATACAACCTCAGTTCCAATGAAGTTGGGACGTTGTGTAAAACCTAAATACAAACAGAATACAATGATTTGCAAATCCTTTTCAGCCTGTGTTCAACTGAATGCACCACAAAGACATTTAATATTCAAACTGATAAACTTTATTGTTTTTAGCAAATATTCACTCACTTTGAATTTGTTGCCTGCAACACGTTCTGAACAGCTGGGACAGCAGCGTGTTCACCGCTGTGTTACATCACCTTTCCTTTTAACAACACTCAGTAAGCGTTTGGGAACTGAGGACACCAACTGTTGAAGCTTTGTAGCTGGAATTCTTTCTCATTCTTGCTTGATGTACAACTTCAGTTGCTCAACGGTCTCCGTTGTTCGTAATGCGCCACACATTTTCAATGGGAGACAGGTCTGGACTGCAGGCAGGCCGGTCTGGGACCCGCACTCTTTTACTACGAAGCCACGCTGCCGTGACCCGTGCAGGATGTGGCTCGGCATCGTCTCGCTGAAATCAACAGGGACGTCCCTGATAAAGACGTTGCTTGGATGGCAGCATGTGTTGCTCCAAAACCTGTATGTACCTTTCAGCATTAATGTGCAAGTTCCCCCTGCCATGGGCACTAACACCCCCCCCACACCATCACAGATGCTGGCTTTGCAACTTTGCGCTGATAACAGTCCGGATGGTCCTTTTCCTCTTTGGCCCGGAGGACACGACGTCCATAATGTCCAAAAACTATTTGAAATGTGGACTCGTCAGACCACAGCGCACTTTTCCACTTCGCGTCAGTCCGTCTCAGAGGAGCCCAGAGAAGCCGGCGGCGTTTCTGGGTGTCGTTGATATGTGGCTTTCGCTTTGCATGGTAGAGTTTTAACTCGCACGTGTTGATGTAGCGACGAACTGCTTTAACTGACAAAGTGTTCCTGAGCCCGTGTGGTAATATTCTTTACACACTGATGTCTGTTTTTAATTTGAAGGTCACGAGCATCCAATGAGCACGTGCAGAGATTTCTCCAGATTCTCTGAATCTTTTGATGACATTATGGATCGTACAGGATGAAATCCCTAAATTCTGTAAAGAATCTTGACTTTGTAGTGTATTAAATTGAGGTTGAAAAGGATTTGCAGATGAATGTATTCTGGTTTTATTTACATTTTACACAACGTCCCAACTTGGGGTTGTATAACTACATACTGATATCTGCCCGATCCTCACTCAAATAGCTAGATCATCTGTGAGAAGAGGCCGATCTATTCATGCTTTAAATACTTTCTTAAAAACTTCTATTCGTACTACGACATGCGTCAGCAGTGCGCTGGTAGACATTTTATTTCACACTGGTATCGGATCGGTCGATACTCAAAGCCTACGTATCGGGACAGAAAAAGGAGAATCAGTGCACCGCTAATTTTAATGGCTGTTCTCTGTGTGGCATTGAAGCATCTATTGATGTCCAGTGAAAGGAGAAAGGTGAAGGCACACAGTGCATTTTCATCTGTAACATGATGTGATATAATGAGAAACCCTTCAGCTGACTGGTTTAATGTTGATCACTGTTCTTTGTTCTGTGCGTGTGCAGGGGTAGATGGAGGCATCCGCACGGTGGAGATCACACGGGTAAAAATCCTCACACACTCTCACACACAGCAAAGTTAGTAATACTATAATGAGGCGTAATGATCCCTTAATTACATCCTCATTTTAATCCAATAACTGTCTTAATCCCCAGTGTGGCAATGACAAAGTACATGCAGCAGCAGCGTATACACAAGACCAAATATTACAGTATGTTTAAAAAAAACTATACAAAGTATAAAAAAGTGCTTTTAGGGGCCATGAGTCAGTTTTCTAAGTTCAGGCCTGGAACAAAATGGCTCTGGAGGATTTTAATGGACCTTTGAAGAGAAGCATTACATGTAAATGCAGTAGAGCCGGGGCGATCCATCAAGGTCATTGGTTATGAAAATACCAAATGAGTTGGATCTGCCGGTGTTACACAATATTCTCTGAACTCTTTTAAGTCCCTTCTTAAAACATACTTTTATAGGAGAGCCTTTCCCGATCTTATTTGACTTTATTTTATCCCTTTTATTTTATTGTATTTTACTAATTTTATATTAATCTGTATTTTAGTCTTTTCAATGTTTTCATGCTCTTATCTTGTTTTTTTGCATTATTGTCTTTACACTTGTTAAAGCACTTTGTAACTTGTTTTTGAACAAAAGTGCTCTACAAATAAGGATTATTATTATTATTATTATTTATTATTATTATTATTATTATTCTGTGACCCTTCAGACCGTTTTATCGTACTTCATTGCATGTTTTATTGTGATAGTTGTCACCAAACACAATGGCGCCGTAGGGAAGGAGCTTTATTGCCAAGTAGGGTTTTACACATACAAGGAATTTGCTTCGGTGATAAGTTGCTACACGCAGACAAACATACAGTTGACATAGATAAATGTATTAATGTATAAACACGGAATCGACAATGCAAGTTAAATAAGAATATTAAAAAGAATAGAGAAAATAATACAAGTAATTTGCGGAGAAAGAACAACCTCGCAGATATTTACACGTGCATTATTCTGGGTTTGTGTTGTGCAGAAATGTGTGACCCGTCAGATTTTGTGACACTAGACACTATACAACCGGTCTCCATTTCCTCCCTTCAGGGCGCCAGTGACTCCCTCGGGGTGAGTATAGCGGGAGGGAAGGGCAGCCCGCTGGGTGACATCCCCATCTTCATCGCCATGATTCAGGCCAACGGAGTCGCTGCCAAGACGCACAGACTCAAGGTAGACTGAGACGTGTGGGGGTGCGTTAGTTTGTGTATGAACTAATTAAGTCGCTCCATCCTACACACAGTAATACTACATGTAAATAAAATACTACTGTCTGTCTCAGTGAAGTTCCCGTGTGTGTTCAGGTGGCCGACAGGATCGTCAGTATTAACGGTCAGTCTGTGGACGGCCTGTCGCACAGCGAGGTGGTCACCATGCTAAAGAACAGCTACGGGAACATCAGCCTGAAGGTAACACTGCCGCTGTCATTCTGACCTAAAGCTGCGTTCACTCAATTTATGTCTTCTTTTATTGACTGTTCACATTATTTTTTAAACGTGGCCCATATCAGAAACCAGTGTGAACGTCTGCGGCCTGAAAGGATTATACGACGTCACACGCAGCACGTTGTCGTACGGAGGTGAACATAGACGTCAGCACGTACTTGCTAAGGCCCCAACTGCACCACTTTTTAAAAACCCGCCCAGACTAAAACGGCGAATCCGAAGAGCTAAGTGAAGTCTGCGCGACTGACCCGCCCTTCTCTGCTTCTGATTGGCTAGTAGTCCTTAACTAGGAACTGAGCATGTGCAACTCCCAACAAAGATCATTTAGAGGCAAGATGTATCACTCCATAGCTAAAACGAAGCCTTCAACACAGGCTGAAAAGAGGAGCTGCAGCAATGTGCAGTATGACAAAAATATAACCATGGAAACCTGCTCTGGAACAAACTCTAAATAAGATGAGGAACCTGAAAATGAGCAGAATACCACCTCTTTAAATTCAGCTTAACCAACTGACACACTCTGTTTCTTTATGTGTGTCTCAGGTGGTGGCGGACACCAACATCAGCGCTATCGCCACTCAGGTAGAGAGTTTGTCCAGCAGCTCCAGTCTGTCAGCCAGCACGGACGCGCACACAGCAGAGCCAGAGTGAGTACGCACGCACACACACAGGTGACAGGTGGTGCTAACCTGTATCTGACCTTCCTCCTCCTCCTCCTCAGAGGTCCGCGACCCCGCAGCATCAGTCTGGAGAAAGGCTCTGAGGGACTCGGCTTCAGCATCGTCGGAGGATTCGGCAGCCCACATGGAGACTTGCCCATCTACGTCAAGACTGTCTTCAGCAAGGTCAGAACCTGCCTGTGAACCTCTTAATGCTAAGCTAGGCTAACCAGTTCCTGCCTCCGGTGCTGTAGGAAACATTTGTTGCGCTGTCCAATCGAGAGCAATTGACCCTTCGCTAAGCCACGCCCCAAATAACACAGCTGTCCAATCACAGCACAGTATAGGACTCGGTCTAATGGAGGTCCGACACTTTCGTGGCTGCGCTCCATTGACTGTAATGTAAAAGGAGTCGTTTTCTAGCTTTTTTTTGGGTGTATTTTTCAAAGATCTGGTCAAACGCTGTTCCTGCGGCATCTTGTAATAGTTACAGTCGAGAGGCTGAAAGGAGAAGGACGATTTATTCTCTTTCTAAAACCTAAAATAAATTCAGAAAAATGTCGGCTGTGGGTTGTTCCTAATGTGATGTTAGTTAACTAACTTCCTACTGACTGTAACGTAATAAAGTCCTGCTGTTCTGCTTTTTAATGACTGTAATAATGAACAGAGGCCGATCAGCTGTACAGGAACACTGTTGATAATATCGTTGTCTTTTGTTTGTTTACTTTTGCTGTGTCTCAATTCGGGTACTTCCTTGAGTATACTAACATGCAGTACACTGTGTACACTATGTACTTACTTTCTTAGTGCGTTAATTTCCACAGGGTAGTGTTAAATCAGACACTGCTGTTGTGCACTAACCGGAATGACTATTGCAGGATTGCCCAATCCCCCCAGCAGACGCCTGCAGAGCTCCAAAATAAAATGTTCGGAATCAGGTTTCTTGCGAAGTTCAAACTTACACGTGATTGTCCTTGGTATACTGGTGCATAAATAAGAATTATATAAAATAAAAGCAATAGAAAGCAAGTACTGTAACCACGTCTAAGATGATAATAATAATAATAATAATAATTAATAAAGTAAAGACATTCCCCTTTTCATGCTACTTCTGTTGTTCCGCCACATAGCTAAAATGGCGGTCGTTGAGGGTGAGAAGTGTTCCACACTCAACTCTTTGGCTGTTATGAGTGCACCGTCCGGGTCCTCTCAGTGCACTGCATGCTGCTGTACTTCTCAGTGTGAATGCACTTATGCTCTCAAAATAGTAAGTATGGAAGTGCACAAATTGAGACACAGCATTCGATACTGCAAGCTAGCTGGCTGGCTAGCTAGCTAGCTATGTTACTCTTGACAGCACCCCAAAGCCAATTACCCTCACCACAACCATCACCGAGTGTGTGCCTAAACCTAAGTTATTGATGCATGTCGACCAGTGTAACTACAGTTGCTGTTAGAAGCATAGACTGTATAAAAGAAGTGGACGTAGTATTGCTTTGAATAATACAGAAGGTAAAGAAAGAGCTTAAAAATTAATCGCATATTAAATCGCAATATCGGTAAATATCGTTCAGCCCTACTTCTCAGCTGATTTATTCCCTCAGTAAACACTTTCCTGATGAGTTTATGGTCTCAGTCGCTAGTTTCAAGTTTTCTTCAACACAGCGTGATGTTCATTTAGTAAATTATGGTCCCATTTAGAGGAACAGAGACCAGGAAGCAGGGGAGGCTTTAGGGCGGGGCTACAAGCTGATTAACAAGTCGCTACCATGGCGACCTGTCAATCAGGATAGAGGCGACTTGTATCCGCTGCTCTGTGTACATTTAACCAGCGCTGTTGAAAAAGTTTATCAGGTGTCGGCTGCTCATTTTTCAGGTAAGTGCGTTTTGTTTTTGTTTGTCGCTAGCCAAAATTAGCATCCCAGCTAATATCACAGCTAACATGAATTACAGATGCACCTTGCCAACCAAGCTAGCTAGCTCATCCAAATATGGTCACGTCTGGTTCCAAGCAAAGATGGCGACGGCCAAAATACACTGGTGTAATTGTGGCCCTTTATTTTTTTATTGCTAGCACCATCATGCCGTGTTGGTGTGTGTGTGTTTCAGGGCGCAGCGGCAGTGGATGGGCGTCTGAAGCGAGGCGACCAGATCCTGTCTGTGAACGGAGAGAGTCTGCAGGGAGCAACGCACGAGCAGGCGGTCGCCATCCTCAAGAAACAGAGAGGAACCGTCACACTGAACATCCTGTCATAACACACAGAAACACACACACCTGCATGCACACTGACACACACACACAGAAACACCTGTGACAGGTGGAGGTCAATCACACACATTTTGACTCTTGGACTACGTATCATCATGAATCGTGAACTCTGAACTTCCCAACATGCAAAAAAAGAAACACACTTCCTGTTTGGGCTGGCGCCACTACACACTGATGTCAGCACGGACAGATGCGTCTCACAACAAGAGTTTCTCAACCTTGGGTTCTGGTACGCAGATGGGGTCATAAGAAACGTCTGATGTACTGAGCGGGTACTTAGCGGGTCAGCTCATTGTCATATCTTAACAACTACTGGAACATCTTTGCATGAAATTTGCTGTTCATATAATTCTGCTCCCCAGATCATCGTTTTTTTAAAGATTCTTGCAAAATACTGACTTTTCTTCATCAGGACAAATGATCCACTCAGACAACAGTGATGATTGTGATGGAAATCCGATCCAGGCATTTGTTAAGTGTTTTTATAAAGCTTTAGAATTGAGTAAAGTAGAATTCAAGTTGAAACAACTGTCTCTTTTCTAGTTGACCATGTTCACAATCATAGTTTAACGTGTTAGCATGGTAATATTTGCAAATGGGGACTAAACACAACTAAGGACAATGTCATTTGTTTTGCAAGTATTTGGTCATAAAGCAAACAGAGTATTAGACACATTACCTGGAAAAAAAAGTCGAACAATGTATGATAAATCTATTAATGACATAAAGAAGTATAAGCAGATGAATAAAGCCCAAGTCCCTCCCTTCAACCCCTATGGGATCTTATTTCGGGAAAAAAAAACTGTAAAGTAACATTTAGTTTAGTGTGAAACTGCTCAATGAACTCCATCTTTTATCTCGCACAATATCCAACGTGTTAGCGCAGTAATGCTAAGCTAACATTCATCACTTGCTTGCTACTAGCTAGGTAGCTTAGCTATGTTCCACACACAGATGTATCTCACCTGATGTGTTTGATCCAACGACTCCTGGTCCTTACATCACATCATCTGCACATGGAAGCTGTTTAACGTTAGCTTCGATAACGTTAGCTTCAGTAACGTTAGCTTCAGTGTTAGCTTCAGTCAATAAGAGAAACGCAACTTTTGGGTTTATGGTCTTTGTAATAACGCAGTTTAGCATTCTTATACTTTTTTACAAGAAAATGTAACTTTCTCGGATCAAAACATTTGTCTATTAAGTATTAAGGTCCCACGGAGGTGCACAGGAACTGGAGGGACTTCCATCACGTAGTTCCGTCTTCTCAAATGTGTATATTTGTTGGTTTTCTCAATCTTCTGTGACTGTACAATGAATATTTTGGGCTTTTGGACTGTCTTGGCATTTTCTGGACCAAACTATTAATCGATCATTTGAGAAAATAATTGGTTGATTGTTCGACAATGAAAATAATAATTATTTGCCGCCCCTAAAATGTGTTTCATTAAATTAACCTGAACTAAATTTCACAGCAATCCATCAAATAGTTGTTGAGATATTTTAGTCTGAACCACAGTTGTGTAGATGAAAACACCACCAAAGTTTGTAGGATTCATCCTCTGGGCACCACAAATGTCGATTGTCAACATATTTCAGTCTGCTAGTGTCCCAAAAGAGAGAAATCTGACTCTAAAACATGGTGTTCAAGCCAGAAAAGGTTGAGAAACTCTTTTTAGATCCCTTATCAGTTCAGTATATAATCTAAAACAAATAAGAATCAATATGGAGGCAGAATGGAGTGACATTTAAATCCAGCCTGCACTAGTTCATTCAGCTCTACAGACAAACAACAGGGAGGTTTGTTTTCATGGATGGAAAAAAAAATGTTTATAATCAAGAGGAACAAAAGGGAAATATTGGTAGAAAAGATGTGACTGACACTACTGCACACGTTAGCTTAGCATCTCCTCTGTTAGCCAGTGAGTAGCAGGTTTATGAATGTGGAAACCACCAGAGAGGAGAAGTGTGTGTTAACATGCCATGCTAAGTAGCTAGCCATCAAAAAAGGTACTTTTCATTCATCAAACTGGCAGGAAATGATCATTTCCAAACATGAAAATTACAACAATAAGGTTTAAAGAAATTATGTTGTATGTCATGGGCACACTAATGGAAAATTAAACTTCAATTTAATTAAATGATTTCCTTTAAATATTGACGGTCACAGTCTTTCATATGGAAAAGTTCCACTGTTTATTGTTAACATTAAAAACATTAGTAAAAGGTAACAAAATTGGATTAAACCTTGTAAACTGCAGCATTTATTGAATCAGAAAACTTATTTGTAAAAGCTAAAATCAGTGAGCCTTAATTAAAACACTCTTCTGTAAAAGACAACACTAAAATGTTTGGTTATCAAAAAGCTTTTCGTTAACATTATTTTAAAAAATAAAGCCTCTTTTCAGGTATACAATAACAGTGAAAGCTAGTGTTGTTGTCAAGACCGCCCAAACCGAGACCAAGTCAAGACCAAGACCAGAGTTTATCAAGACAAGACCAAGACTTTTAGGGGCTGAAACCGAGTCAAGACCAAGACCAGTTCCCCACATTACATGGCACACAAAATGTGGAACGAGATCATAGGTACTTCTCAAATTGATCTGAAAGATCCACATTCCCATTAAAACACACACATACAAACACTAAGAGCTGAAATCAACATAAGCATCTTTATTCAACACAATACTTACAATACTAGAGAAGGGGGGACAGTCGTTAACGGGAACAACACATTTTTTATTAGGGTTATTGGTTACATTTAAAGAAATACGCTTTACATCTAATCAAAGTTAGGATGTTAACAAATACTGTAAATCAGACAATGCAAAAGCAATTTATTGATATTTCCAAAGTTCAAAACTTGAAATAAAATCCAGAGTCCTCAATGACCGAGACAAGACAGAGTACAAATGCGGTCGAGTCCGAGACGAGACCAAGACCATCAAAAAGTGGTCTTAAGACCGGTTTCAAGTACTACAACACTAGTGAAAGCCATCTGTTATTTTATACCTTAAGAGTCTTAATTTTTCATTTGTCATTTGGTAAATCATGTGGGTTCTTTCACCCATTAAAAATCTCCTTTCCTTGCAGGAAACCCAATAAAACGCTATATTACAATACATTATGCTCAATTAATCCATTAGTCATCCTCTTAAAACCCATAAAAACACCAAAATTACATAGTTATTTATGGTATTACAAAAAAAAGCTAGTTCTTTACACTCTTCCAAAAAGTGCCATCACATGAACGACAACTCAATATTTTGCTTCCAGTAATGAATCCTTATGTGACGCATAATATATATAATATATAAATCTCATAATGTCTGTCGATGACTCTCAGGACCTGGTGGGCTTGGAGAAGGACCCCCCTGTCGCCCCCCCAACAGATACAGTGTCTTCCACGTGATTGTAGGGATAAATCTAAAAATGTCATCTCTGTACGGAGATTTAAAATAATAACAAAGGCTTTCTAAAAGCAGGTGTAGATAAAAGCAACAGACGGACGCTTGGTAAAACTCTTGTTCTGTCATCTTCAGTCCGTTTCATTTCTGTGTGTCCAGGATGTGTTTAGCCTAGCTTAGCATAAAGACTGAAAGCAGGGGGAAACTGTTAGCCTAACTCCTTCAAAAACAGAAAAAAAAAATCCAACTTCAAAACAGCTCAAATGGTTTGATTAACGTGTTGCATGTCAACTACTTGCATTTGCATTACATATATTAAGGCATTTTAATGTGCTTGGATTAAGGGTCTTTAAGCACCTCTGAGTTTATACCTTAAAGTAACTTAAGTTAATTAAGGTTGGCTTTGTTACACGGAAAAAGCTACAGGATTTACCACAGATTTGGGTTCATTAATAGAAAATTTTAGATATTATAATGCTTTTCTGGATGGATTAAGACTTCACCCGAAAACCATCTTATTGGAAAATTAAGGCTCTTTGAAGGTTTAAAATAACAGATGGCTTTCATTATATTTGGGAAATCTTGAGGGGTTTTTGCCCGTTAGAAATCACCTTTCCATGCAGGAGACCCAATAAAATTATGTATTACCACCCATTATGCTTAATTAATCCATAAAAACACCAAAATCAGATCATTATTAATGGATAAATTAGTTTTAAAGATAGTGTCATACTAAGGATTTCAAAGAAGATATTTTGGGGCTAAAACACATATTTTATGTAAAATTTCTGTCTTTACATGAAGAAATCTATTTATAGTTTAGAATATGAGTTAGAATGCTAAGCTAACAGACTTAATTTACATTGTTAAGAGCAAAACATTTACTAATTTGAAGTATGTTGTTTGAGCATTTATCAAGGCTATACACTCTAAACGGCTCAGATATTAGCATGCTAATGTTCACTTTGTCAGTTAGCTACACAAACCGTTGCGGGTACCTTGCAGTTAGCAGGTGTAAATATTTACTAACAACAGCGTGAGCTCCATCTACGTCTAAGGTGCAACCTGTTTAGATACAGTGATGCGTTTAACTCAACTTTAGCACAAGGTTTGAACTCATGAAAAGCTCCTAATTTTTAGCTAGTGCTTTAGCGGTCTCTCGTGCTTGTTTCTCCCTTCTTGTAGAACAAAAGATGATTACAGCTCTCAGTTTAATCTCTGAGTTGCATTTAACTTATGTTGCTTACAGATGTTAATAGCTAACCTAAAAAGACTTCAGTTCAGAATTGATTGAAATGCTAACAAACCCCTGCCTCAGTTTAGACAGAACAAGAGGATTTATCAAAACGTCAGACTGTTGCTTTCAATCCTAAATTTTGCAACGTGAAGGTAGTTGTGCAGAGTTTTGCTAACTTCCAGTATGATGCAGCAGTACTCTGTTCAGATATTTAGATGTGTAACTGAACTATTTAGCATCAGCTGTAGATGTCTGTGTCAACAACGAAGGGAGATGTTCAGAGATGAGCTTCAGTCTCAGAAGGACCCTGTACTTCATACATATCAATCAAGTGCAAAATACTTTATTGAGCTTTTTACGTCATAATTACTGTCTTAATTTTTGGTACTTATTTTTAGATGTCAGAGTAGATGAACTGTAATTTATTTTTTTTGATCTCGCTGGAAATTAACAATGTAATTGTTTGTTTTATTATTTTGCGCACTAATGTGTTTTACCAATGTCTGAATGTTTTACTGCACCGTCAGAAATCACAATAGAAACCCCGCAGCTTTGGTTTGCCTTCACACAGGACTCATTCAGAGTCGCTGCCAAAAAACCAGCCGGGGTTGCACTTTATGTAACATCATATCTTGATTTTAATTTCTATAAGAAGTTTCCTGGAAAGAACTATGGTACTATTTATAGAGAAAATAGAGATGATGTTGGGTTGAATCTTTTAATCGGAGCACAATAAATGAAGGACATTCCTGTGGAAACTGCTTCAACTGCTACTTCCTAGAAAATAAAATTATGAGGACGTAAAGTTGCAAAGTGGGAAGAGTTATTTCATGTGCCCCTGGTTCCCTTTTCATATTCCCCATATACAAAATTGGAGCACTTCTCTATTGCTTGGATTGGCTTTAACCCCTTTAAATAATTAGTACAAATGATTAAGAACTGTACCTTCTTTTTTTCCCCAACTCAATATACGTTGACCTTCTGTGTGAAATTGCAGGAAGTCAAAAATGTTTCTCCAAATCTAGCTAACACCAACATATAGGCCTATTAAGGAACCGGTAAAGAGCCTAAGTCCCTTAATCGCTTCCACTTCCGCCCAATGGGACTTTATTTTGGAAAAAATATGTACGATAGTCAACGGCGAGATACAACTAATGTTTTGATACCGTTTAATTGTGACCTGAATTACACACGTTCTTCTGTTTAAAATAATTTTGCCGTCAACAAAGTCATAAAACCGTAAAGTAACATTTAGTTTTGTTTGAAACGGCTCAATAAACTAAATCTCTCATCTCGCACGTTAGCGCTGTAATGCTAAGCTAACGTTCACTGCTTGCTCGCTAGTAGCTAGGTAGCTTAGTTAAGTTCCACACACAGATGCATCTCACCTGATGTGTTTAATCCAACGACTCCTGGTTCTGTTTCGTATAGGCTTTGCCCTCTGAGGCCATCGCTATTGGGCGCTATTGACCCCCTACGCGCCTGCGCGGCACTGATGATGAAATTTTGTCTACGCCCACCCACAACGCGGGCCTCTCCTACATCTGCACCTTGTACATATATACAACACTGAGCTGTCTAAAGAGCAGAAGATTTCCAGCCGGGAAACAAGAAGAACGATGTCTACCAGCAAGCCGGCCAGAACGGGGCGAGACGCCGCTACAACCGGACGGGTGTGTGGCGTCTGCCACACGGGCTACATCGTGCTGGGTGATCTCTAGTGATGGGGAGATGAAGCTTCATGAAGCACTGAAGCTTTGCATCCAGTTGATTCACTCGTGGGCCGAAACTTCATGATGCGTCATTTGCTCTAGTGCGCCATCAAGTGGACATTAAATGTAAAACAGGCAGAGTGAGTATAATGGCACCACGGCTTTGGCGTGTGAAGCTTTGAAGTGACTAAATTAATGAATGACGTTCGTGATGCCATAAATGATGAACTTATTAATATGGCGTCTGTCTTTAAGATACAATGGCAGGGTCAAAAGGGAACGTGGAAACAAGGGAGAGGGTTATGATGACTTGGTTTGTGACTTTAGATAATAGAGACAAAATTTTATTCATTTTTATTTAAAAACAACTTTTCCACAGTGCCAGTGTTCTGTCGATTTATGCTTCCTATCGAGATGCGCTACTTAGGGGTTCTGCGCATGCACACGACCCACAAGCGTGGTTTGTTTCCACGCCCATAAATCTGCGCAACCTTGCAGTTGGGCATGCCGTCGAGACAGCGGCTGATCGGCAGCAAATATCAAAGAGAAAATAATTAGTAGTCTATCAGAATACGCTGCCCCTGATATCTTAAAGAAAGATGGTATAATCTAGTATTTCAACATGCTCCCTATCTCCGTACAGTACATAGGGTATATTAGTCTCAGAATACGATACCCCTGAAATGATGTTATAATATAATCAAAAAACAGAAGATGTCATAATACTGTGAGTTATAACTTTACGGGATTGGAAATGGGAACACATAAGGTAGCATTTTTCGATAGGGCAAAGCGACGCGATAGATTTATAATAATAAGTTTAATTCTTACAAAAACCACAAAATGCCGCTAGTCTGACTCGACTAAATATTTCTTCTATTTCATCACAATTTTTGAAGTATAAGTTGATCACATTTTTTTGTCATTTAAAATAAGCTGTAGTAATTGTGTTACAATATTAAGGAGGGCCCGTTGCATTTTGCTGCTCCTTTCGGATCGCACGCCAAACCCTGAATCAGTCACGTGGTACGACCGGCTCGCGAGGCTTCAAACGTCACCACATCCGTCACCAACACAAGCCTCGATACGCGCTCCGCAAAAATCATCCTATATTTACTCGACACACGCTTCGAAGCCTCGATACGGAAGGACAACCAACTAACCTGAAACGAAACACCAGTGTTTTGGGTCACAGAATCTGGTGGAGTTACGCCGCGTTCCAGACCGCTCAGAACTGGGAAATTTCCAAGTTGAAATATCCGACTTCCAACCTAAAAGCGTTCCAGGTGCACGGTGGTGCAAACGCACATTTGGACAAGTCAGCTTCATTTTGGAAGAAGGTGCTGTGGACTGATGAAACAAAGATGGAGGTATTTGGTCATAACAAGGAGCGTTACGCATGGCGGCAAAAGACCACAGCGTTCCAAGACAAACGCTTGCTGCTACCCACAGGAACATTTGGTGGAGGTTCCATCATGCTGTGGGGCCAGTGCCGGTACTGGGAGTCTTGTTGAGGGGAGGGTCGCATGGATTCCACTCAATGTCAGCAGATACTTGAGAATAATGTAGAGGAATCAGTCACAAAGTGGAAATTACGCGGGGGCTGGATGATTCGACAAGACGACGACCCAAAACACTGCTCAAAATCTACTCTGGCGTTTATGCAGAGCAACAAGTACAATGTTCCCGAGACCTGAATATCATTGAAAATCTGTGGGGTGATTTGAAGCGGGCTGTCCACGCTCAGCAACCGTCAAACCTAACTGAACTGGAGATGTTTTGCAAGGAGGAAAGGTCCAAAATACCTTCATCCAGAATCCAGACACTCATCACAGGCTATAGGAAGCGTCTAGAGGCCGTTATTTCTGCCAAAAGAGGCTCAACTAAATATTGATGTTATATTTCTGTTGAGGTGCCCAAATTTATGCACCTGTCTACTTTCATTTTGATGCATATTGCACATTTTCTGTTCTCATCCAATAAACCTCATTTCACTACTGAAATATTACTGTCTTTAGGTTATTAGATAGCTCAAAATTAAATTGCTGATCCAAACACCCAATTATTTATAAATGAAAATCATGGACATTGTCAGGGGTGCCTATATATGTATACGACTGTAAATAACCTATACGCTACTAGTTGTGTGTACTCTGATCGGTTGGTAATCCTCAAGTCAACACTAGGTTTCAAATGTTTTGGCATTTTAATCAATAACTTTTATGCAGAGAATAAGTGTTAGAACAGAAGGTGAATGAAGATAGTAACTAGGTTACAAATAAATCCTTTAATAATAAAAACCAAATGAAATGAAGAACAATAAATACATCTGTATCAATAACCTGGGTTTAAAACAGACACAAACTGGACATTCATTTAAATACTGCCACCTTCTGGCCAAACAGATCTGTTACTGGGTCAACAGGCCAATTTTAAAATACAAAAAACTAAAACATTTATTGGCGTTGTTCAAACATTAAGAATGCTGTGTACACAAAAAAGAATGTAATTTTTTCAAATTAAATAAATTTTGTGTTTTTTCAGCTACATAAACTGTCTTTGGTCTTACAAAATGTCATGTGGTGCGACTGTAATTTAATAAAAAAAATTAATTAATTTCCTTAACATGCTTAACAGTTTTTACAAGTTCACAGTAATATATTCTTTTGGGTTTTTGGAAATAATAAATAAATAAATAAATCCACTTCTTAAATGTAGTTAATTGATTAATTTTCTCTGTAAATTGCATAAAACTGATAAAAATGTTTAAAAAATACCATTCACTTAAAACTACTGTATCAGTAATTAATGTTTCAGTCACAGGAATGAGATTTTATTTTTAATTTAATAAAGTTATTGTTATAATTGGTCACACCACATGATGAGTGGTCGCTCCAAATGACATGAACACTGCATATCATTAAAAATATATTTAAAGAGATCAGTAAACAAAAACTTCTAAACAAAAAATATTTAAACCAGATACCATTATAGAAGTTTTCAAAACAGCAGTCATGGCCGGACAGTCGCACAGCATGACATTTTGACACTTCATTTATCAGAAAAATTACAAAAAGCTAATGTTTTTTAAAGTTACAGGTGAGTACATATATGGGAGAGGTCCTGCGTTTATATGGTATTCTTTTATGCTTTCAACCTTTTTTTTTTTTTTGCGAAAAAAATCCAGTTGGACACAAAATGTAGGCGTCACGTAATTGACCCTACGATGAGAACCATATATGAATTCAATATTAAGAATATAGTGCTAACAGTAACAACTCTGCATGAACGTGCGTTTATATGTATCGTTCTCTGTAAATACAGTATTCAGCCCATCCCTTGTGCAGATGGTAAATGTATAAAAGGAAATTGTTTGAATGGGCCTGATGCAGCTGATAAAATGAATGTGTTATCTATAATTACAGGTGCTATGCTTAAAGTCTGTCAGTCAAGGAGAAGCTGCCCCAGGGAGGTCAGGACGGTGTGACGGTTTAAGTGGTGGCTACATTAACTGGTGACAGTAGTGGCTTGTCAACCAGGAAACGCGTTCTGATGACTGTTTATCCACGTGATGTATATTTATGCACGAAAAATGCCTCTGAATGCAGTTTGCACAGAGTTACCCTGCATGTTGATTCACAGCGAAATCTACATACCTACAAAGTTAGTTTGAAGGAGGACAGTGGGACTGATCAGGTGACTGTGTCCATGCCTGTTCAGAACACTGCAAACGTCAATAAATCGTGCAAATGGGGCTGGATATAAACAATAAAACAGCAGGAGGTAGGTGAGGTAGGTGAGGTAGGTAGGGCTTAGGGCTGGACAATTAATTGAAAAGTAATTAAAACAGCTTTTTTGCTTGTACACTCAGATTTTGAAAGAACACAGTGCTTAATGTTAGCAGTAAGCTCTGGTTTTAATTTTTTGCATGAAACTGATGTAAATTTATATTGTCATCTATACAACCTTTTATTTATTTTTTTTTTATTAGGGGCAGATGGACCTAACAGATAAACTGAAAACAGCAATCCAATGTGTGCTCAATAGTGTTTTTAGCAGTTGCTAATTTGCAACGCCCGTCCCTAGAAGGGCTTTTAAAGAAACAAAACATTAAAACAGTGATGAAGTATAAAACAATACATTACAGTATAAGCCAAGATAAAAAGGGTTAATACAATGGAAAACATGTGACACTAACACAATAGACTCGACATGAGTATAAGTTTGTTGCTGAACCAACCAGGACTTGGCCTCTCTTTTAAAGTGGTGAACTTTGCAGCAGTTTTCAAGTGTTTAGGTAACAAGTTCAGAGACTTTGCTCCTTTCACAGAAAAGGCCGTCTGAGCAAAAGGAAGTTTTGCAAAATGAAACTTTACAGTCGCCACTTGCAGCAGCTCTGGTGGATCTGCCGCTGCTCTGTAGTGTCTTAATGTACTTAAAGACAGGCTGAGGAGCACGTCCATTTAAACATTTAAATACAAGCTTTACATAATGAAAATCAAAGTTTGCAAAACTTAAAATCTTTTATTAAACTGCGACAGTGATGGTACATGACTTGCTGTTTGTCCCGGGTTTAGAGCTGCAACGATTAGTCGATTATTCAATTAAAAATGAATCAACAACTATTTTGATAATCAATTAATCGTTTCAGGCATTTTTAAGGAAAAACATGAAGAATTAGCTGGTTTAATTTACTTAAATTGAGGAATTGCTGCTAATCTTTGTCATTAATGACAGTTGATGAAGAGTCTTTGGGTTTTGGACTGTTGGTTGGACGAAAGAAGCAATTTGAAAACGTCACTTTGGGCTCTGGAAATTTTTGTTCCCAATTTCTTGACATTTTATAGACTTAACGATTAGTCGATTAATCGTGAAAATAGTTGGCAGATTAGTCGATAATTAAAATAATGCAGCCCTACCAGGGTTTTGAAGGCTCCACTGTAAAGACAGGACCATAGATTTAATCACTGACTGGTTGGACCAGGTAGTTAAACCGTAAGTATCATTGCATTTAGAAACATCAAGCCGGGATCAAATGTGAAGCATTTTCTTATCTTAAAACAGGTAAGGTTAATCGATTTGTAAATCTTTTTAGTGTGACTTTTTAAATTCAGCTGGGAGTAAAATTATCCCTCACTTCAGGTACTTGTAGAGTAAGCTCACCTTTAATTTTAACATTCTGTTTCAGATAGCTTTTAATAGAAAACCACTTTGTTTTGTTGGTGTATTATTTATTTTTATAAAGGTTCTTGGTTTGTTTTTCAGGGTAATTTACATTTTAAATGACACTAGTGGAAATACTTTTATCTTATGAGTTAATGTTGGTGCTTTAAACCCCCTCACGATCAGCAGAGGGCAGCACAGCCCCGCAGGTTCTTCTGATGAGGAAGACTTCTCTGACTCCAGGACTGAATATGGAATGAAACAACTCTTCTTCATGGTTGTGATCTCGGCTGCTTGTCGTCCATCTTTCTTCCCGCTGCCTTAAATCAAAATGGCGGTTGCTTCCTTCACGGCCGGAGGTGAGCTGCCGTTGAACTGCGTTTAAAAGATTTAAAAGTCGATAATTGTGATTAAACTGTCGTATGTTGGTTGATATTGTGTCCGACTCGCCCTGTGCGTTGAGTCTTACTGTAATTTGAGGCAAATGTTTTATTTAATGAATCGCGGTAAAAAGCCTGAAGGCTAATGTTAGCATGCTAGGCGGCCCCAGTACAGAGGGGAGGAAACCCCGTAGGTCCGGCTAACGGCTGCATCCTGTCAGCTCCAGCCTGCGGAGTGTTTATGGTGATGCAGGTGTGCAGATGTCCCTTTGAATATTAATATTACTGTGTTTGTTTAATCGTGAACTTTATCACATCCAAGTTATTAAGTTCTCCTGTGTTTTTATTGTGATTGCAGATATCGTTACGGGTGATGGAGATTGAAAAACCGACTGAAAGTCCAGAACTGTGCCGGGGTTACTGATTGATGCCAGAACACAAGGTGGATTACATCGGCAGACACACAGGTCCTACAGTAACTTACATTAAAAAAAAACAATAATTTAGCTTTCATCCACTTTCTGAAACATTATTCATATCGACTCACTTTGTTTTGGTTATCTAAGTTTTGTGAATGTTGTTTGCGATTGATAATCTGCTGGCCGGCTGAGAGCTGCTAAACTTGGGGGAGAGGAGCGGGGAGCAGCGCTGCAACCTTTAGACAAATAAACACCCGAAGTCGGTCGGATTCTGCTCTGACAACTACACCGTTTACTCGCGGGAGGAGCTCGGAGTTAACTGCTTTTATTAAATTAGCTTTAATTAGTTTTTGGGATTACAACGTGGATTTATCTTCACTCCAGCTTCTCAGCAGCTTCCGTGCACATCCGGTTCCAGTGTTGTTATTAGTGTCGTTAGCTCTGTATTTATATAAAAAGAACACACAAAACTGGACATTACATGGAGAAAAGAAAGCGAGGAGGTTGAACTACCTGGTGAGATCAGAAAACGTGTGTCTGTAACTTTATTCCAGCTGTCGTTGTACTTTACTGTGACCAAGTTAGCATAGCATAGCCCTGATCGATCCGAGCTCCATTCAGAAAACATTTTAAAGTTATTGTCCTGCTGACAGACCTGACAAAACATCAATTCATATGTTTAACAAATCTTCATCATGTTGTAGTTATTTCAGCATCAGTTTGATCCGTTTATTGCTATTAAATCACAGCAACATGTTTACTTTGGGTTCATACAGTTGTTGTAATGGCGAATTGTGTTTATTCACGTTATCGCATAAAAGTCGCCTTCTCGCGGTGTGTGTGTGTGTGTGTGTGTGTGAACACTTGCAGCGAATGTACTGATCCAAGATGGCTGCTCTGAGTATCAACAGTTGGCGAAAGCTGTACTGTTTATTAGCACTTCTGTGTTATTGTGTCTCATGGAAAGTTTCGTACACAAAGTGCTGTCCAGCTGCTGTCTGTGGTAAGGTGACCAGATTTCTGAAATGAAATCCTGTGTTTAGTATGAGCAAATACTCACAATGCGTTTTTCTTTAATCAACTTTTTATTGACTTGTTACTCGGGGTGTGACGTCATTCCCAGCTCCGACCTCTGACTCCTGAGGTAAATGAAACGCCCCAGTGGACTAATGTTGAGATACTGAAGGACAAACTGTTTGAACAGTAAGCTTCATTTGAAGCTCACTAAGTAACGAGTGTAGTGTGTTGGATGCCTGCAGCAGATTTTCATGTTGCTTTCTGTGGAAATGTAGTTAACGTTAGTACAGCGCAGATGTTAGTCCCTTGTGCTCTGCACCGCGGTGTGTGCGCATTGCTGCGGTATGTAAATTGACGTGATAGACATGCCCTGAAGGTAACGATATAGTTACGTGTGACAAAGACATGGTCAAACTACAGAAATGAGTTTGATCGGCAACGTTGTGTAACTTTGACTTGCACCCAGCAGCTACCTTGCTCCGGCCATAAAGCTGCTGTTAGCGGCTGTGCAGTGAGGTGAGATCCACACACACACACTGCTGTGCTATATGGCACCAAAAATGGCAATAATACCGTTTACCGCGCTGTTGAGCCACAACAAATTACCGCGGGGGAAATTACTTCACTGCGACAACCCTAGAGACAGCACTAAGTGTAAACTTGTGTTAAATAGCAAGAGTTACCATTGGTTGATTGTCACAGTAGACAATAGAAGTGATGGTAGATAATGATAATACGAGATTAGAAACTGACATTTACGTTTTCCTTCAGCAGTTAACCTGCAGTTAGTGTGTAGTGTAGGAAAAATAGTAAAAATGAGTTCCCGACTGGAAAATTTCACTTGAATGCCCCGTCGAGTTGGAACAACAACTCGGAAAGTCAGAAAAAATTGGTACACGACCTGCCGAGTCGACATCATAGTACTTGGACAGCAGCATCACATAACACCCACTACCCAGACGCTATACAAAAACGTCCACATTGTTTCCACATTATGACTTAAAGCTCATGAACACACTAAAGTCGTAAGAACGACCTCCAACTCTGGAAATGGAACCATCCGAGGAGCACATGAATGCAGCATTACTCTCATTTACGTGTTGTGATTAGTAACTCGGTGCAGTTCCCAAATATCCCAAGCCACACATTTTACATCCGGTAGTTTATGTTCTTCATTTTATAAAAGGGCGCTGTTAGCTATGTTTGTTTGTTAAGTGATATTAAATTCTTACTTACTCTAGATAATTACCCTTTTAGCAGTCATTCGGTGCTACTGCAATGCCAATGCTACACTTTCAGCGAGGAAAATAAGTATTTGAACACCCTGCTATTTTGCAAGTTCTCCCACTTAGAAATCATGGAGGGGTCTGAAATTGTCATCGTAGGTGCATGTCCACTGTGAGAGACATAATCTAAAAAAATAAATCCAGAAATCACAATGTATGATTTTTTAACTATTTATTTGTATGATACAGCTGCAAATAAGTATTTGAACACGTGTCTATCAGCTAGAATTCGGACTCTCAAAGACCTGTTAGTCTGCCTTCAAAATGTCCACCTCCACTCCATTTATTATCCTAAATTAGATGCACCTGTTTGAGGTCGTTAGCTGCATAAAGACACCTGTCCACCCCATACAATCAGTAAGAATCCAACTACTAACATGGCCAAGACCAAAGAGCTGTCCAAAGACACGAGAGACAAAATTGTACACCTCCACAAGGCTGGAAAGGGCTACGGGGAAATTGCCAATCAGCTTGTTGAAAAAAGGTCCACTGTTGGAGCAAAAAATCATACATTGTGATTTCTAGATATATTTTTTTAGATTATGTCTCTCACAGTGGACATGCACCTACGATGACAATTTCAGACCCTTGGGAGAACTTGCAAAATAGCAGGGTGTTCAAATACTTATTTTCCTCACTGTACAGTAGGCAGTTGATAAGCTACTTTTGAGCAGTTTCTAGTTAACATTTATTTTCAACATTAGGTATATTATACAATACTAATATAGGAAATGTGCTATGCTTACCATGAAAACCATATATAATCTCTAGTTTTAATCTAAAGCCAGCCATAGTTACCTCAGCCCTTTGTCTATACTTGGTCAAGTTAATATTAATATGTGCATAAGCTAGGTTGTTAGTTATCAAGTCATTATTGTTGAGGGATGATTCTTAAAACAAAGATTTGAATTTGAAGGTCTTTGTTATGTCTGATTGGAGAATGTGTAAATTGTTTTAAATGCAGGTTATAGCTGATGCTTTTACCACTACTCAGTGAAGACAGCACAAAGATTCCTAAAGCCAACGGTAAGGAGGTCAAAGGTCAGTACTGTACTGTGTAAATTAGGACTTAACAAGATGATTCGATCCTATTAATGATTATATCTAATTACATTGTCAATAAATGCCATGCACACAGACCAAAAGGCGTTTCCCTATACACAATCATTGCAAAAGCAGCAATAGTAAAACTGTACATGTACATGAGCGTCACAAAAAGCCCTGGAATGACTCTCTTTACTATAAGACTTTGATGCATTCAATCCAGGAACATTGGGAAGTCTAGAAGAGCCTTATGAATATTTTTATCTCTATTATGTGTTGTATGCTTGGGTCTTACTTTCTTCACGACCGAGGCACTGAAGGGGCTGACTGTCTGATTGGAATGTATTACAGGCTCCTGCAGAGTAAACTTATTAATTGAAAATTAGCTGTGGACAGGTGCATTTCAAATAATCAGTTTTACTTTGTTGTTACCGTGCTCGTATAGTGTGTGAGTGAAAATTAGTAGTGCATTGATATAGTGATTGTGTGAAATTGCAGTAGCGGCTGTCATAATTCATGCATATAGGAGAAACAAAAGAAGGAACCACAAGCACATGACAAATACAATTAATTAAATAATAATTAATATAATACTACTAATATATCATACATTATGCAGAGCCTACATTGTATACACAATATTTTGATGTTTTAATCACTCCATGTCACTACTAATCTTAGATCTATACCGCTGCTGAAAATTACAAGAATGTATAAATAGATCAAATGTTTGTTAGATCTCACAAATAAAACTAGACAATTGAGACAATTTATAGATTTTTCAAGGCTTGAATTCAAAAATTGATTTAGACCTTGTTAAAGAGCTGTTGACAGCCCACAGAAATACCAGGTTGACACACCACCACGCCGCTGTGTCACAGATCATCTACAGATGTTTACCAATTTAAGGTTACAATAATTAAATACTACTAACAACAATTAAGACAGTACACAAGATAGGATTTTTATATTGCATAGTTTATGATTATAAAAACATGTAAAACTGACAAATAGTAAAATCTTTTTCTATAGAAAATGATGTCCACAACAATCAGGCACATTTCTCACACAAGATCAGAAGATATTGATCCCATTTGGTTACCTTTACTCATCTTTCTCCAATAATGTTAATGTTAAGCCAAACATAAAATAAAATAAATTGAGTGCTTTATCGTTCTCAGCTGGGATGTGGGAGCTTCAGAGCTTCTTGATCTCTTTGCTGGATGTATGATGTTTAGACGTGCCAGTGTTTCCCCTAGGATGGAGTTGTAGCAGCGGAGGTGAAGCTATTTTTTTGTGCGCGTAGTGCGCAGTATGTCTGAAGATAAAACCCCAACACAACATGTCTCAGCAGCAGTGCTCTTGTGTCCATGAGCATGCGATGAACATTAGAATAGCTTCAAATCACTTTCCCAATTTTATGTGAGCTTCAGATGAATGTTTTGGTGGGTGGTCATGGTCAGATGGGTGGGGGTTTGGGCTCCTCCGCCAAGAAAATGTAACATTTTCCAATGAAATATGTAATTTCACATCACATTGAGACATTATTTTTACCATATCTCTAGACAAATACTTGAAATGTTTAGGGCAGATAATAAAGAAACAACGCAATGGATAGACGCCTGCCTTTGGTGTGAGAGACCCGGGTTCAATCCCCACTGTACCCATCCACAATTGTGTCCCTGAGCGAGACACTTAACCCCTCGCTACTCCAGAGGCGTGCGACCTCTGACATGTATAGCAAGTGTAAGTCGCTTTGGATAAAAGCATCAGCTAAATGAGTAAATGTAAAAGATGAAATATCATAAAAAGGTTATAAAAACATTTGTACATATACAGCTAGAGCTACAGGATTGGCATATAACCCTGATTCTGTCTTGCGTATCATTTGCTCATGTTTTTGTGTTTGAAATTCCATCACAGTGAGTCGTTTGCTGCTGCACCTATTTTTTTCTTGCTGTACAGTTCGTGTCTCAGCGCTTGTGTTGAGCTTGTTTGTACAATCAACTGCCCTAGTTTTCTTACTGGACTTCATAAGTTGTGAATGTGCCACATCTGTGACAGTCAACAAATGGAAAAGGGATAAGAGAGGTTTATAAAAGTTTATAAAACATTTGTACATATACAGCTAGAGCTACAGGATTGGCATTTAACCCTGGAATCTGTCTTACAGCACGGAAGTAAGTCACGGGCTGCTTCACCTAATTT